CCTTTTTTTTTATTAAAAAAAAATCAATATTTACATACATGGTGTGTTGTGAGTTAATTTTGTGCTAGCAAATTTTATCAGTTTGCTTGCAAGCAAATTTTATATGACAGACTGACCTAGCCGATGGCAGATAGATAGATTTCTGAATGAATCTGTGATTCTGTGAGCAACTCAATCTGCCTGCCTGCTTTGCCTGATTTTGGGTAAAAATTGCTCTTTTTTAATAAAAAAAATTCAATATTTATATAAATGTTTATAATATTTACATACAAGCCATGCCCAGCCAGTTACATGCCCACCAAGCCACACCCACAAATTAGGCCACGCCCACAGAACCGGTTAGTGGTCCCTGGGATTTAAAATTATGAGTTTGGTGGTCCCTGCGGTCCAAAAGGTTGGCGACCCCTGGCTTAGATGACCTCGCTGATCCCTGCCCTCCAAAACGACCAGGAACAGAGGCGAGAAGAGATCAAAATCAAAGAACGGGGTGGTGGTGGATTGGAATTAGAAACTTGAAAAGCAGGATGGCGATTAATGAAGGGACAGGAAGTGCAATTGGAGAGGGGGGGGCTGAAGGAGAGGAGAGCAGACCCCTTTCCCCTACCCCTCACTCACCTGCCTTCGATAATAGTGATCGGGTCGTTGGCTTCCAGCCTGAGCCAGCCGGGCTCCCCAAACGCACGACTGGCCGTCGTCTCTTTGGGACGGAGCTGCGTTCAAAAGAGACACGGCGTGGTCAGAAAAGGCAGGAGGGCAACATTCCCGTTGCTAAGCGAAACAGTCGTTAAGGGGACTCTGGGCCTGGCAAACTCTCTTCCTTCCGGATGTGTGGACTTCAGTTCCCAGAATCCCCAGGCAGTGGTAACACATGGGCACTGCTAAGAATTCTGGGAGTTGAAGTCCATGTATCTTCATAACTTAAACAAAAGGCCTCCAAACGTGGCTCCTTTTAAGACTTGTGGACTTCAACACCCAGCATTCCCCCAGCTCACTGTGGAATTCTGGGAGTTGAAGTCCACATAGCTTCATACCCTAAACCAAAGACCTTCAAACGTGGCCGCTTTAAGACTTATGGACTTCAACACCCAGCATTCCCAAGCTTGCTATGGAATTCTGGGAGTTGAAGTCCACATATCTTCATCTCTTAAACCAAAGGCCTCCAAACCTGGCCATTTTAAGATTCATGGGCTTCAATTCCCAGAATTCCACAGTCAGCTGGGGAATGCTGGGAGTTGAAGTCCACAAGTCTTAAAGGGGCCCTGTCTGGAGGCCCCTGCCCTAAACTGGCCTGATGCCAGCCACCCAGCAGTCCCAACCTGGCCAATTGCTGGCCGGACAGGAATCTAAAGATTTCGGGCACCAGGACCCCCCCATCCCAAGTGTCATCTGAACCCAGCCTCTCCTCTCACCTCCGACAACAAGTGGATGATTTCCCGGAATTTGGGCCTCTCTTCCGGGTTGTGAGCCCAGCATTTCAGTGCCAGGGCGTAGATGCTCCTGGGACAGTCCTCCGTTCGTTCTAAACGTCCTCCTTCTCGGTCAATTTTGATCATGATCTGTTTTTTGGGGGGGAGAGATGTCGGGAAAAATAAAAATAAAACATCCAATTCAAGGTTAGGAGCACACAAAATCTGCCTACAAGCTCAAAAAGTCAAATTTTAATTTCTTTAAAAAAGATTTTTGCTGTCTTTCTTATTTTGATAAATAAATAAGCCCGATATTTCTTCCTTTTCCTGTTTTCCCCACCACGACAACCCTGCGAGGTGGGTTTGGGCTGAGAAAGGGACTAGCCCACAGTCACCCAGCCCTTTTCATGCCTAAGGGGGGTCTAGAATCCCCACCCAGTTGCTTTCATGCCAAAAACGGGACTAGAACTCCCAATCTCCTGGTTTCTAGCCTGATGCTTCAATCACTGGACCAAACGGCTTCTAGATGGCAGCCGTCATCAAACCTTTGCCCATTTTTATGTCTGTTTTATGCATGAAAAAAATAAACAAAGTGGAGGTTGATTAAAATGCCCTGTTGCCTGGCAGCCATCTTGACTTTTTTGCCCTCCCCTGACAATGCATCTCCACTCCCAGTGCCATATCGGAAAGCACGCAGCTTCTGAACCGCTCTCGGACTGGTCCAAAGCTGCCCAACCCGTTACCACCTCCTGAGGTTTTTACAAATGACAGATTCACAGAGTCGGAAGGGACCTTGGAGATCATCTAGTCCAACCCCCTTCTGCCCAAGCGGGAGACCCTACACCATTTCTGACAAGATGGCAGTCCAGTCGCTTCTTGAAAGCCTCCAGGAATGAAGCTCCCACAACTTCCGAAGGCGACTTCTGTTCCATTGAATATAGAATGCCAGAGTCGGAAGGGACCTTGTAGGTCATCTAGCCCAACCCCCACCTCCCCCACGTTCAAGCAACTTCTGCTCCATGGATCGATTTAGACTACAGTTCCCATCATCCCCCAGACAGGTTTTGGGCTCTAACCACTAGACCGCCCACCCCCCTCTCGGTTCTCACCTGCCTGCCCGTCAAGCCCACCCAGGGCTCCTCACAGTAGGAAAACATCTCCCAGAGGGTCACCCCAAACATCCAGACGTCCGAGGCGCTGGTGAAGATGCCCTGGCGCAGACTCTCGGGGGCGCACCTGGAAGGACGGGGGAAAAAAGGGGGGGGAGGGTCAGTCAACCTGGAGGGGCTTAGGGCAGGGCCTCTCCAAGCTTGGCCCCTTTAAAAATTGTGGACTACAACTCCCAGAATTCCTCAGCCGGCCATTTTCCCCGCTCCCAACTTGGCTGAAGTCAAGATATAAATTACATTTACCGCATTCCCACCATCTATTATTAAGAAAATTACTCTATGGGAAAAAAAAATGTGCTAAAGTTGTCTATATTGACATGGCTTCTTGTCCTCCTATCCGTGCTGAATTCTGGGTAAATCTTTGCGGGCTGAGGAACTCTGGGAGTCGAAAGCCCATAGATAACAGATAATCAGAGTTGGAAGGGATACTGGAGGTCATCTAGCCCAACCCCCCCCCCACCCAACCCTCCACCATTTTTGACCAATGGCAGTCCAGTTTCTTCTTGCAAGCCTCCAGGGATGAAGTCCTACAACTTCCGAAGGCAACTTCTGTTCCACTGAATACCAGAGTCGGAAGGGACCTTGGAGGTCATCTAGTCCAACCCCCCCCCTCTTCCCAAGCAGGAGGCCCTACACCATTTCTGACAAATGGCAGTCCAAGTCTCTTCTTGAAAAGCTTCCAGGGATGAAGCTCCCACAACTTCTGAATAACAGAATAATAACAGAGTTGGAAGGGACCCTGGAGGTCATCTAGTCCAACCCCCCCCTTCCCAAGCAGGAGACACTGGACATTTTTCTGACAGATGGCAGTCTCAGTCTTTTCTTGAAAAGCTTCCAAGTATGAAACTCCCACAACTTCTGAAGGCCACTTCTGTTTTCATTGAATCTAGAATGCCAGAGTTGGAAGGGACCTTGGAGGTCATCTAGTCCAACCCCACCCCCCTCCGCCCAAACGGGAGATCCTACAACCATTTCTGACAAATTCTGGGAGTTGAAGTCCACAAGCCTGAAAAGTTGCTTAGGGGAAGCCATCCTTAGCACAGCATGACATTATAAATCCGGATAAATAGAAAGCGGAAGGCAAATTGGCAAGTCGAGATTCGCTCTTAAGCACAAACAGACCATGATTTGCAAAGCGGGCCAGTCAAGAGGACATTCGGGGCGTTTCTCTGCTCAGGAGACACCCCAAATTTTTCACCCCTTCCCAGCTCAGATCTCCCCCTTAAATCCTGGTGTGGTACGTTCTGTCATTCAGGTCTCGACAGCTCATGGCAAGGCGCTAGTCCTCATGAGGGTTTAGCAGCTGCCCAAGGAGACGGGTGGGGGGGAAAGAGGCAGTTAAATCCTCCCTCCACCCCGCTTTGGGGAGCCTTACCAGGCAAAGGGGATGCGCCGGTGGGCGGACATGACGTAGCGGTCGCTCCTGCTGGACAGCGGGCGCATCAGGCCGAAATCGCCGATCTTGGCGTGGTCCTCGGACACCAGCAGGATGTTGCGGGTGGCCAGATCCCGGTGGACGAAGAGCTTGGACTCCAGGTAAGCCATGGCCCCCGCCACTTGCGTGGCATAGCTCCAGAGCTGGTGCAGAGGGAAGGGCTGCTGGAGACGGTCGTAGAGCGAGCCCAGCGCGGCCAACTCCGTCACCTGCCGAGAGGAAGAAGGTAGATCTCACGGATCTGTCGCCCCGGATCTTCTGAACCCCCAAATAGCTCAGGGGAGGCTTGGAGTTTCCTGGTCTTCAAACCCCACCCCCACCCCCAGGAAAAGTTGGGAAGGAAACTGGAAAATTTAACAGAATATCAATTGGAAGGGACCTCAGAGGTCATCTAGCCCAACCCCCTGCTCAAACAGGGGAAGAACAGAGTTGGGAGGGGGTCTTCGAGGTCATCTAGTCCAGTCCCCTGCTGAGAATAACAGAATAACAGGAGTTGGAAGGGGCCCTCGGAGGTCATCTAGTCACACCTCCTGCTCAGAATAACAAGAGTTGGAAGGGGCCTTGATGGACATCCAGTCCAACCCCCTGCTCAGAATAACAGGTGTTGTAAGGGACCTTCGATGTCATCTAGTCCAACCCCCTGCTGAGAATAACAGAATAACAGAGTCGGAAGGGACCTTGGTGGTCATCTAGTCCAACCCCCTGCTCAGAATAACAGAATAACAGGAATTGGAAGGGACCTTGGAGGTCAT